TGGGCCTCCCTGCGCTCCAGGGGGGAGTGGGCAGCACCCGCTGCCGAGACGCTGGGGAGCAGGAGACAGCGCGGTGCACGTGACATGTTCAGGCCGCAGTTATGTCGGACAGGCGTTCTCCGTCAGAACTGAGCACGGGGTCCAGGTGATGGTGGACACCGGGCGAGCCACACTCCCCGTCGGTGTTGCCTCGGTCTCGGGGACCTGCTCGCTCCTCCTCCCTGGGTAGCAAGCCCACCTCCCACCACAGCGGGGGCAGCACGCCAGTCCTGAGCGAGACCTGCGCCCCTCCTGCTGCCCTGGCGCCGTCTCAGGCCGCACATGTGCACGAGGAGGGGAGAAGGTGTTTGGCATCAGAGGCTCCTGGAAGGCGGGTGGCAGTCACACCTGTGCGTCTGGAGCGTGTTGTAAAGCATGTAGACGCCTGTGCGTCTGGAGCGTGTTATAAAGCATGTAGACCCTGTGTGTCTGGAGGCGTTCTCCGTCAGAACTGAGCACGGGGTCCAGGTGATGGTGGACACCGGACGAGCCACACTCCCCGTCGGTATTGCCTCGGTCTCGGGGACCTGCTCGCTCCTCCTCCCTGGGTAGCAAGCCCACCTCCCACCACAGCGGGGGGCAGCACGCCAGCCCCGAGCGAGACCTGCGCCCCTCCTGCTGCCATCTCAGGCTGCGCGTATGCACGTGGAGGGGAGAAGGTGTTAGGCATCAGAGGCTCCTGGAAGGCGGGTGGCAGTCACACCTGTGCGTCTGAAGTTTGTTGTAAAGCCTGTAGGCGCCAGTGCGTCTGGAGCATGTTGTAAAGCATGTAGACGCCTGTGCGTCTGGAGCGTGTTGTAAAGCATGTAGACGCCTGTGCGTCTGGAGCGTGTTATAAAGCATGTAGACCCTGTGTGTCTGGAGCGTGTTGTAAAGCATGTAGACGCCCGTGCGTCTGGAGCGTGTTGTAAAGCATGTAGACGCCTATGTGTCTGGAGCGTGTTGTTAAGCATGGAGACGCCTGTGTGTCTGGAGGGTGTTGTAAAGCATGTAGACACCTCTGTGTCTAGAGCGTGTTGTAAAGCATGTAGACGCCTGTGTGTCTGGAGCGTGTTGTTAAGCATGGAGACGCCTGTGTGTCTGGAGCGTGTTGTTAAGCATGGAGACGCCTGTGTGTCTGGAGCGTGTTGTAAAGCATGTAGACACCCGTGCGTCTGGAGCGTGTTGTAAAGCATGTAGACACCCGTGTGTATGGAGCGTGTTGTTAAGCATGTAGACGCCTGTGTGTATGGAGCGTGTTGTTAAGCATGGAGACGCCTGTGTGTCTGGAGCGTGTTGTAAAGCATGTAGAGGCCTGTGTGTCTGGAGCATGTTGTAAAGCATGTAGACGCCTGTGTGTATGGAGCGTGTTGTAAAGCATGGAGACGCCTGTGTGTCTGGAGCGTGTTGTAAAGCATGTA